AGAACTTTGAAACTGGTATAAATAGATCCTCCCCCTTCCCATCAGGCAGTCTTTTCTCCTGTCCTTCACAGCAGTTTGGAAGGAGTCTGCTTAAGCAGGTCTAGATTTTTTATTTTATGCTCACCAGACAATATTTTTTAGGCCGTGCCAGGGTTCAGCCTCTAAGCCCTGAAGACCCAGCAAAACGCACTGATGAAAAGTTGCTAGCCTGGGTATCCCCTTTAGTGACCGGGGGTCGGATCCAACCTCACCCTGAAAGGGATGAAAATGGTCCACTGCATGCCAGGGTTCAGCCTCTTATCCCTGAAGACCCAGCAATAGGCCAGCTTGTGTACCCCCTCAGGGGATGTATGTGATATAATGCCTACATGAAGCCAGGCCAGGGTTCAGCCTCTTATCCCTGAAGACCCAGCAAACAGCATATCAGTATGAGTTGTCAGCCTGGGTTCCTACTTCAGCAACCAGGGGTCTGTCCTATCTCTCTCGGAAGTGATGACAGCGGTCCACTGCATACATGAGGCCCATTTAAGTCTAAGCCCTTATCCCTGAAGACCCAGCAAACAGCACATGTGTAAGAGTTGCCAGCCTGGGTACCTCCTTCAGCAATCAGGAGTCTAACCTATCTCTCTTCCTGAAGGGATGACTACTGGGGTATACCTATTCTATGTATTCCCCCTTGCATGGTGATGATGAATGGCATATGGGGTACAGATGGAAGCCTATAGTTTAAACAGTGTAGGCTGTCAGTTGTTCAAATCCCCATTTTACCGCTGAAACACAGGCCTGCAACGGTTCAGGTAAGTGCATTAGTAATTTAGATTAAAACTAGCATAGGCACCTGGGTCTCTGTTCTTTCAGTCCCTCCCAGCTGCTTACATTAGGCTTCCTTCTAAAAAAAATAGGTCACATTTAGGAGATTTGTGTGGTGAGCATTTAGGTAAGTTTATAAGGATGTTTGGTGCAAAAGAGTGCTAATAATACAAGTATGCATTGGGCATAGTAGTGCTGATAATGCAAGGAGGCATTGTGCAAAGGAGTGCTGATAATGCAATGAGACACTATGAAAAAGAGTGCTAATAATGTATATCCTGGCTGTATAAAGTCTGACAGGTTTTAAAAACCTGAAGTCCACACACACACTTGTTTCTATCAAGGCATGTGGCATTGATTACTGTTATCTGTGCATTATCACGAATATAGTGGAATAATTAGAGCATTCCACTATATGCTCTAATGTATGAATTGGTATGAAGTCTCAGTGTGTGTCCAGTATATGCTCTAGGTATGAGTTACTATGAGGACACAGCCTCAGTATGTATGTATGTGTGTGTGTGTGTATATATATATATATATATATATATATATATGTGCAACATACAGGGTTTCCTTGCACTCACGCTTGTAGACAGTTGTAAGCCGGGTGCTTGTAATCCAGGGAAAAATTGCATATGGTGAAGTAGTGATCAGCACTCTCGGACTTTTGTTGAGTTTAAAACTTACAGTTTATTGAAATTCCATTTAAAAGATCAACGTTTCAGTTCCTATCTGGAACTTTCATCAGGATCAAAACATGTTTTGATCCTGATGAAAGTTCCAGATAAGAACTGAAACGTTGATCTTTTAAATGGAATTTCAATAAACTGTAAGTTTTAAACTCAACAAAAGTCCGAGAGTGCTGATCACTACTTCACCATATATATATATGTGTGTATATGTATGGGTTACTATGAGGACTCGGCCTCAGTATATGTTCCCACTATATGCTCTTGGTATAAATTACTATGAGGACTCGGCCTCAGTATATGTATCCACTATATACTCTATGTATAAGTTACTATGAGGACACAGCCTCAGTATGTATGTATGTGTGTGTGTGTGTATATATATATATATGTGTGTATATGTATGCACTATATGCTCTATGTATGGGTTACTATAAGGACTCGGCCTCAGTATATGTTCCCACTATATGCTCTTGGTATAAATTACTATGAGGACTCGGCCTCAGTATATATGTCCACTATATGCTCTATGTAAGAGTTACTGTGAGGACACAGCCTCAGCATGTATATATATCCACTATATGCTGTATGTATGAGTTACTGTGAGGACACAGCCTCAGTATATGTACCCACCATATGGTGTATGTATGAGTTACAATGAGGACTCTGCCTCGGTATATGTATCCACTAGATGCTCTGTGTATGAGTTACTATGAGGACTCTGCCTCGGTATATGTATCCACTAGATGCTCTGTGTATGAGTTACAATGAGGACTCTGCCTCGGTATATGTATCCACTAGATGCTCTGTGTATGAGTTACTATGAGGACACAGCCTTAGTATATGTACCCACTATATGCTCTATGTATGAGTTACAATGAGGACTCTGCCTCAGTATATGTATCCACTAGATGCTCTGTGTATGAGTTACTCTGAGGACACAGCCTCAGTATATATATCCACTATATGCTCTGTGTATGAGTTGATCTGGAGACTCTGCCTCAGTGTGTGTTCTTTATATGCTCTCAGTCACTGTGAAAACACAGCCTCAGTATATGCCCTCTACATGCTCAATAGGTAAGATGGTGTGGAGACATTGCTTCAGTGTATATGTTCTCTATATGATTGATGTATTAGTGGAAGCACAATCTAATACTGGTTCTATGTGTGGGTTGTGAGTCACAACCTCAGTATATGTGAGTGGTATATTATGTGCATGAAGTTCTGTTAAAACACAGCCTCATTTTAACTCACTCATATAATCTTAATATGTGTACAGGCATGGTGTCACTGTATATAGCAGAGGTAGGCTATGTATGATTACTGTTTGAACAGACTCAGTATATGTAACTGATATATCTGTGCATAAGGTGCTGTCAGAAACATCCACAATGTATGTGATTCATATAATCTGTATGCAGGTTGGTAGTATTATATAACCCCAATTTATACACAGCGTTGGTAGATTTAATATTTACAAATGATCTAAAGTCTGTTTTGCGCTGAAATGTAACACTGCCCAATTCTAGCAAATACAAATGCACTGTTGTACTGGGTGAGTAATTATTGCCTACTGTGGATTTTCTATTTCAGTTTTTTAAATGAAGTAGATAAGGAAACATACGGCTTTTGGCTTTGTATTAGATTCCTTCTCCCACAGGTGTTTCAGGATAAGCAATTAACACATTTTACCCCTATAGATAGATTGCAGGTGTTACTGAACCTGTCTGAGTGCCTCTCCCAGGAGAGTAGGAGACCTGTTTTTTCTTTTTGTGTGTATGTATTTATACATGAGACCCATCTACAAAAGTTTTTCTATTGCCAGGCATCCTCTCCCCTCTGCTCGAGATAGGGAATGTTTTTTCAATTGGTGGCAGTGTTTTACCTTTAAATATATGCTGATTATTATTAGATTATTAGATCATACTGGTTGCAGGAGCACAAATTGGGCTATTAATTGATCTTATAAGTAGGTAACGCTGAAGCCATTTCCTGATTTAAAAGCTGTTAGTATTGTTTTTTGATTTCTCCTGATCTTAACCTTTTATTCTTTAAAAATGAATTAATTTTGTTAAAGCATAAAATTTATATTCAGTATTCCCTTTTATCCCTTGGATACCTGAAAGTTTGTCAATCCCTTTAGTATATGTCAGGGGTGGCATGTTTTTGGTTCTTAAGGAGTTAATAATCAGAAACTTCTGACAGATTCCCCTGTTGTGAAGGGGAACATTCTAATTTATTTTCTGCAATAAAGGTATTCTTTTAGGCTCATATGCTCCGGGTAACTTTTGATGCTGTGTATTGCAGGTATTTTAAGGTCTTTCCAGTCCCCAGACCATTCTACCAGGTTTTCTATTTCAGGTAAAATTCTCCTGCTGCCTGAACAATAGAGGAAATCCCTAAACAGGTAGTTCCATTACAGACCTCTCTTCTGATATTCATGGGGATTCTTCTAGGTGTCCTTATATCTGGAATTTGCAACCAATGTGTGGCTTTAAATGGTTGATTCATCCTGCATAATATGTAATGCAGCTTGTTGATGACAAACATTTGACTGATATGTTTTACAGGGTCTCTGTACCTAGATCTGTATAAGTTATGGTCACTCCTAACATTGCATTGATTCAATACTTGTGGATTATATGCTTGGATTGGTGTTGATATTTTGCAGATATAACAAGTTGCTTATTATAACCATAGGCTCTGCCATAAGTACTTCATCACTATCTGAAGATAAGGTAAAAGTAAGTATGCGGTTGTTGTTCTCATAAGGATAACTGAATATCTTCTACTATCCTGCTTATTAGGTGTCTGTTGCCACAATGTATAATGTGCCTCTGGTTACCACCTTCCCATCAGTATCTTGCCTATTAAATATCTCTTACCTATGCTGCACAACAGTCTCTAATAAATTTGATTATACTGTTTGGCATAATCTGTACTATTTACAATATGTTTATCTTTGAATGTAGGTACTGACGTGGTTGGCCTCCTTATAATTTAGTAGTTGCCACAAATTCTATGGTTCATACCGATATTTCTTTTCTTTCCCTCAACTAATCTGTATATGATTCTTCTTGCCTTTGCCTAGTAATGTTATTAGTTTATTCCTCTCCTGTGACTGATCGTTGCTGTATCAATTCATCCACTGTGTGAGGTAGTATTGTGAATCTGAATTTTGCAACATCAGGTCAATGTTGCAGTATTTTAATAACACTTATTTCTCTACTAGGCTCTGCCTCTTTCTGACAGGCAGATATTGATTTGTTCCTGTTTCTTCAGGTAAGTAGTTCACAAGGCAAGAGGAAGCAGTGTGAATCGTATTTAATAACTTCATCCAGTAAGTAGTAGGATTCTCAGTGTAATTCTCCCCGTGCTTAATAGCATGGTGTGTCCGCTCTCATCCAACATTATCTGCTTGTTCCAGTATGATCTCTGGAAGTTATGCCTTTGTCAAGGTTCTGATTTGTTGATATCAATTTGGTTTTAAATTTTTATATCAGAATGACATTTTCCTTCTCTAGCTTATGCTATCATGGCCTTAATTCCTATCTGACTCTATATCTATTCAGGATATTTCAGATATTGAATGCCAGGAGGTTGCTGACCTTGCAGCCTCTAGGGAAAATTATCTTGTCTGAGCAGATTTTATGACAATTTCCTATTTATTCTTGTTTGACTTTGTAAAGTCTTCTAAGATTTATACAGCTCAATAATGGTTTTATAGCTTTTAGCTGTTTTTGAACTCTGTCCCTCCCTCTATATATATATATTGCTTGGGTATTCCCCATTAGTAAATGCTGCCATGAATAATGGTCAGGAAAGTGGAAAATTTGCTTCATACTTACCGTAATTTTCTTTTCCTGATAATTATTCGTGGCAGCATTATGTTCCCACCCATATACTATAGAAGTTGTGAAGCTAGTTACAAAGACTGCCTGATGGGAAGGGGGAGGATCTATTTATACCGGTTTCAGAGTTCTATTTCCTGTCCTTTCTGCTGTAAGGGGAGGAGCTAACCCATGAATAAATGCTGCCATGAATAATTATCAGGAAAAGAAAATTACGGTAAGTATGGAACAATTTTCCACTATATATGTATAATTACAATAATAAATAAATAAAATAATAAAATAAATGAATAAAATATTGAAACAAAATTTAATATAAATTATATATTCATATGTAATATCATTCTAACTGTATTTTGTTATTAATATATACAGTGTTTGTGACTAAGTGGCTACTAAAAAAGACTAAACATACCCCACTTTCAATACCTTGTGTTGTCTACTTTTTCAAATGGTATGCCATTATGGGGGTAATTCTCATTCCTGGGCTACCACACCGTCTCAAAGGTAACATTACTAATCTGGCACATTTCACTGTGAAAATGGAACGTTCTATATTTGACCCTTTAACTTTCCGAAACACCATAAAACCTGTTAATGGGGGGTACTGTTGTACTTGTGAGACATCGCTGATTACAAATATGCAATATTTTGCAGTAAAACCTAACAGTATTATGACATTCACAGACAGGAAATACAAATTAAAAAAAAAATCTTATTTTCTCACTTTTTGCTTCTCACATGTTCCATATATGAATAGTTAATGATAAATTAAAGCCCTGTTTCTCCTGAACAACATGATATATAATAAGTGTGGGTGCATTTAATATGAAAGAGGTGAATTACGGTTGAACAGACATATAGCGCAAATTCCAGTTTTCGTTTATGCTTTGTTTTGATCAGAACGTGCACTATTGACTCTGTCATGAAGGTAAATATGCAGTATACTTGAGGAAAGGTATTGCAGTTTTCCTATATAAACATACAAACAAAACACGACAGTGTAATCTGTATCAATATTAGGTGAGAGGTTTAAAACTCGATACACTCACAATTTTCTGAGCCCTTTCAAGTTGACTCTGGACTTATAGGGCATGTATGTCTCCTTTATGGACATAAACAGCTATTCTCTGTAGGATGGGTCCCACAGTTGGTAGAAAGTTGTGATCAGGAGCATATAGAATTTTACAAATATATTGTTTTAAAGGTAATTTATTACTGAATATATAAAAAACAAACAAATACAAATGCACAACACGTTTCAACCACAGAATATGGTCTTCCTCAGGTGCTGCTGGATGCTAATACTGAAAGCAAGCATGCTTATATATGTTTCAATCTCAATTAAGCAATTAAGAGGGAACCACCCACTACCATATATGGTCTGAACCGGATGTATATCCACCGCCCCCAATATGGTGGTATTTCCGGTCTGGACATATATGGCCACCATATTGATGGTTATAAATTTATATAAAAATACACTCACATAAAGCAAAAGAATAAAACTGAAAATGTGCTGTCTATTCATATGCCACGTTATGTTTCAACTGTTCGTTACCTTACTGCTTGTGACTGCTATTGTGGCTGAGTAAGCCCATTGCCATACCATGCACAACAGAAAATAAAAAATAAAAAAAAAAAAAGAAATACAGGGTTAGAGAACCAAACGTCAAAAGTCAGTTTCTTTACCTCCTAGAGCTGATCAGAGGATCACGAAAGGATTAGCAGTGACTTGGGATTTGTGTGATTGGTTAATTTATTGCAGAGATTGCAGGCCTTTCATCTATGGCAACATTTAATCAGTATGGCCATGAAGGCTATTACAGGTTAGCTCTTTCCTCAAGTCAGCCAAGGCTACACCATCAGCCCTATCGCGATTTCCCTGAAACTCCCAAATTATCTGGAACCAGCTTTAACCTCGCAGTAATAAAAATTAGAAGAGATGCCTGATACAGACCACAAACAGCCCTGACTAGCACAAGGCAAATTATAAATAGTATGAAATTGCCACCTCTTAAGAGATGTGCAGGACTTATCACCCCTGCTCTGATCCAAATCCTTGTGGTTGAAAATGTATATTAGATTTAATCAGTGAAGGTTATGTTGCAGGAACTTGTGGAAATATTGATTTTCATTTTATAGCGAATTTGGAGCATGAGTTTTTAATCACTGCAAAGCTTACTATAATATTCTACTAATGCATCTTTTACCTAGTTTTCCTGTTGTATTTCAGATCACTTATTTGATCTTGATTATTTCAATTTATGGTTTTAACACATGTTCTGGGTCTTAAACAACGCTCTTTTTTTTGTTTGTTTTATTACCCACAATAACATGTTATGACTTAAAAATAAATAAATAAATAAAGCAAATGAATATATAAAAAATTAAACATAAAAAGATCCCACCAGGATAGAGACATCATAATATCACCAAAAGCATATTTGTGTCTTTCCCATCAAGGTATACATAGTTTGTGTATAATTGCGTAGCGTCACTTCCTGTGATGAATGGGCTTTCAGTTTAGTCCTCCGTCGCGTCACTTCCTCTTACGTAGTATTTCCGGTTTTGCAGTTTTGTCCGACCATCAGTGAATGCTTTGTTCTTTCTATAGATACTCATAGGGCTCATCACCTCCTACAAGTGTCAATAGGGCTCATAAGGTGATGAATAGATGTCAGTCAGAGTAGATACTAAAAAATAATTAAAAAGCTAAGGTTAAGAGAACTACATCTATATAGAAAAATGATAAAAACACAAAAGTATTACAGGATATTACTAATCTCAAAATTAATGTTCAATCCTTTTGGTGTTAGTGTGCGAAGCTCAAATGTTCACTTAGACTCTTGTGTACTGAGGGTCCTAGCAACGTCCCCTCCCCTCCAATTTACATTGACTTTATCAATGGCACAAAATTCTAAATATTTAGGATTAGAGTCATGATGTTCCAAAAACTGTCTCAAAACTCTATGATTAACTGTACTGTGTATTTAAGGTAGTATTCCTTTCATCTTGTGTGTGCTTTCACCTTATACCTTTGGATTGCATTTCTTTTTTAAGTATATAAAGTGACAATATACTTGGGTGATCCAGCAGCACCGTACTTATATATTCCTAAGCGCCACCTATATTTCTTTTTTCACTTCCTGAAAGATCTTCGCTGTCCTTACTTGCACAGTATTTTTCATTTAGAATGTATTGTATCCTGCTCTGTTAAAAGCCTACTTGTGCATGGAGGAGTCTCCTGTGTGTGTGTGATCCAAGTTCAATTAACAAAGCAGAATATAATACGTCTAAAGTAAAATGTGCTGTAAAATGTGATTGAAAGTGAAACCTTTTTTTCATGGAGGCTGTTATGCATATATTTGCAGAGCATTGATTATCCCATTTTCACACCTTATAATTTTTTCCAAAATGATTGCATGTACGCAATTTATCCAAACCAAAACACCACATGACTGAATCCTGAATCACCTGAACCAAATATTTTCTTTAGAAGAATTAAAAGATTAGGGCAATTTGGTTTGTGGTGGTCATGTGGTCGAGGGGCGGACGCAGGACGTAGCCGTGCGTCGTGAGGAGGGGATGTGATGGCAGTCTAAGGGCTGTGAGAGCTGCAAGCTGTGAGCTGTAAGCGTGGTGAGACGCTGTGAGATGCCGACATACCGACATGCTGATACGCTGATAGACCATTAAGCCGTCGGATACCTCTTGATACCTCCTGATTTTACAAATTACCTGAAGCCTCTCTCTAACGAATTTATATTCCAAGCAGAATTAAGCGGAATCGCTAAAACTATTGAAGTTTTCCGGAACGCTGCGATAGTGCGCTGTAACAGCGTGCTCCAATTACTTTCCGAAAAATACTGCTAAGTTCTTTTTTTATGTGATGCTTATTCGCCTATTTGCACCCTTTTGAAAACAACATATATTCTCACTGAAATCCTGAAAATCCTGTGCTATTAATAATCAACAATCCCACAGGTCAAAAAAATAAGATTACCTGTTGGAGCACCTGATGGTTTGACGCACCCTGGAACTACAACTCCTAATACTGCAAGTCCAAGGTTGCAACTCCGTTTAGATGATAAGAAACTTCATTTAAAAGATAAGAAATCTTTTTTTTTCTTTACTTTTTTCACCTAATTTCTGGTTCATTGTGCTTATAGAAATTCATAGAACTGTGTCCACTTCATATATTAATTTATCATATATATTTGCATAAAGAAAAAAAAGGGGAAAAAAATATATATATAAAAAAATATAAAAAAATAAACGTAAGGAAAAGAAAAACAAAGATAAAAAAAACCAAAAAACTGTGTTTACTTCATATATTAATCTATCATATATATTTGTATTTGTATTTGTATAAAGAAAAAAAAAAGGAAAAAAAAAAAGTAATTGAACATAAAAACTAAATCAGAGGAAAGTGAGTTAAGATAAATCAGAAGGACTGTAATATAGAAGGAAGCTGATGGCTCCTAAAAAAATAGTTCAAGACCCTAAATTTGCATCAAACCGAGATAAAGGAGATAAAGCAGAAGTACATCAAGAAAAGAACCTGGACATATTTTTCTCTCCTCAATCTAAAGATTCAAAAGGGATTAAACCGAGATCATCTTTAACAAATTTAAAGCCATTTAATATGGATATAAACAAAGACAACATAGAAAAGGAAGAAATTACTACTAAAGTACTGAATGAAAGTCTACAATCTATCTTAGAAGAAATAAAGAGAGAAATTTCAAAAAACTCTATAGAAATACGACAAGAAATAAAAAGTGAAATCTCTAAATTAACTGAAAAATTCCAAGTTATAGAGGATCGATTGAAGAACGTTGACTTTCAAATAG